TATAGCCAGGGAGATGGCTCAGTAGAGTAAGTGCTTCCCTGGCAAACACAAGGGCCTGAGTTCAATCCCCGGTTCCATCAAAAAAAAAAAAGAAAGAAAGAAAAGAAAAGAAAAATTATAGAAAGCCTTCCTTAGCCTGTATCATAGCCCAGGAAGTTTATATCTGTAATTCCATGGAAAAATTGTTGGAACTCTAGTGAGTTCATTCCAATCTACCACTTTCAGGGCAACCCATGGTGAGAATAAAGACACGAAGGCATATTCCTAGTTTGGGGGAGCCAAGGAGCCCTAAGTCCAGTCATGGTGATGGCTATTAGGAACAAAGGCCTCAACCCAAGGCTGAACCCGGACTTTGGTTTTTTGGGGGGTTTTGGGGGCTTGTTTTTGCAGAACCCGGGATTGAACTCGGGCCCTCACGCTTGCCAGGGAAGAGCTTATTCCACTGAGCCATCTCCTTGAACCCGTAGTTTGCTAATTCCTGAAGAAAGAAATGGCTTGAGGCTGAGTGACTGTGAGAATGGCAGGAGTAGGTAAGCGCCGCGAGCTGGGCTAGGTAGGCCTGGAATAGCTGTAGGCAGCTAACGTAGATAGAAATATTAGGAGATAATATAGCAGACAAGGTGACTACAACTTCGGGAGAGACAGCACTCCAGCTGTGGGCGGACCTCAAGACTAAAACAAATGCAGCCACCTACTTCCCTAGATAGGTATCAGTCACCTTGAAAGAGCCCGAATGAGTCACTAAGCCAGCCCCCAATAGGAAGAGACCCTGCCCAGCATTCATGCCGTGTGACCCGCTTCCCCATTTGGTCCTGGATTTAATGCATTTTACCTGAGCAATGGTGCTTGTAATCTCTGTGGCTGACCACAGTTTCGTCCCACCTCATGCCCACCCAAGCAAGTTCCCATGTTCTCTACCTTAGACCCGCCTCACCGCATGGTTTTATTCTATAAAAACCCCTGAAAGAGACAGCTTCCTGGGACAACCTACTCGCGTGGCCCTTCTGTCCCTCTCTCAGACAGGAACTTTCCCCCAGTAAATATATTCTGCTCTTAACCTCCGTAGTTCCT